CATATGATGAGATTCTCACATAATCAATAGTTATGACAAAACTTTGATACTGCGTAAAAAGATGTTTAGATGAGACATATTGAAAAATATGATATTAATACCCGGAGGGACAATATATTTTATCTTTTCTCAAAGCAATGTGTACATCATTCATATCAATTCACAAGTATAAAAAATTTGAGTATCGCCAATATGAGAATCATTTTCAACAATTACATTCGGTTCAGGCGATTGAAAATTTACTATGATAAATCATATTTACTTTTTCTCTGATACACTATAATTGGTGTCAAACGTGCTGGTTCTTGCAAAACAGACGACAATAGAGGAATGAAAATATAACTAAATGTAAATTCATGACTATGATTAAGAGTAGGTTCACTCACAATAGGTGAAAACTCAGGCTCAAAAGCAGGGTCGGGTATTTTACAGAAGTTAAGGTTGAGGATTATAAACTCAAACTCAAAGTTGGAGTCATTCATGCTCTCCCTCTGTGGCTGAAGGTTGAGGATTATAAACTCAAACTCAAAGTTGGAGTCATTCATGCTCTCCCTCTGTGGCTGAAGACAAGCAAGGTAAGACATATTTTCTTAAAATGTGACATATTCAGAAACAAATAACTTATGTTAGGGATGTTGATAATATTTGTACATTATTCTATTAAGAGGATAACTTACAGAGATACATCTAAGGGCACGTGAATCCAACTTATTTTGGTGTCGCTTTTAGACGTGGACAAAAATCACACAAACAAATACTCGAGATTTGAGACCCTACAACATAGAAGCAGAAGGAAAAAGTGAGATTATAAACAGAACAAGACTAACATTATCTATAATACGAGATGACATTCAATTAATTATATAAGCAATGATCTTAATTACTTCACCCCAATATGATTTTGGAAAAGACATTTGTAAGAGAAGAGCTCGAACGACTATTAGTAAGTGACAATTTTTTGTGACACCATTTTGTTATAGGGTGTCGACACGTGTGAATTCATAAATGATATCATATTTACTAGTATAGCTGTAAAAATTATGATTAACAAATTATGTACCATTGTCGGAACATATTCTTTCAATACCACTCCTAAATTGTCTTTGTATCATACTATAAAATTGAATAAATAATTCTAGTATTTTTGATTTATTATTCATCAAAAAATCCAAATTACTCGAGCACAATCATCAATAAAAGAAACAAATCAACTCTCAATGGAAATATTAGAAACATGGGTCGGTCCCCAAACATCACAATGAATGAGATCAAATGGCTCATGATTATAGATAAAGTTGTTCGATAGATTCAGAACATGAATCACATCTTTCAATTTAAAAAATTGAAGATCAATGTCTCCACAACATCAACCCGAGTATGATGACCATTTGCAATAATAATATTCAGAATGTCGCAAGAAATATGCTTAAAAAATTATTGAGAATCAAATATTATGTGATGAGTGAAACTAGAATAAAAAATTCTAGCACTCCTGGAGTCACTAGACAACATTAAAGGCAAAATTCACAGCAAATCTATTTTCAACCATATTGGTTGAAATCTCACAAAATCATAACATAGAGACAGACAAACGCTGTTCCAATTTATTCTTTCTTTTTTTTTCAGGAAAGAAATTGTAACAAAGTGTCACCATAATGAACAGAAATCTAAGATGAACTGTGTCGCAAATGAACAGTACACATACCGTGATCAGTGTCACAGATGAACTATAATGGCACGTGAGTAATATTTTCAGAATTAACAGTGTTTCAGAATTTTAAACAGCCCTACACCAGACAAAAACAAAAATAAATCGATGTAAATAAGACCTCAGAAATCAAGAGCTCATGATACTATGTAAGAAAAGTATTTTGATATATTTCATAATTGAGATTTACAATTGAAGAATAAACTAGTTTAAATAGACATAAATATAAATTTAATGGACTTCTTAACAAGTAATCTCTACCTTGATAGAAATTAGTAGTTGTATATAACATATGATAGCTATGTGACTAGGCACCTATGTGAGAGACACATCACTTATCCACCTAAAATTTTAAGGTGACTGAGTTCTCCTACTTATATATGCTTAGGTCTCCTCATTCCTATCTAACGGTGAGACTATTTCCCCACTTACTCACACTTGTTATATTATTCCAACAAAAATTTCCTTTTCTATACATAAAGAAGTAGGTATCAATTACTCATAAACGATTTCTACTCGGAATATTGCAAATGGGAAACAACAAAGGTTGTTTATATTAATGCAGATTTAGCACATACACAGCTCTGTCGATACCTACCTTAAGAAGTTCTTGATTGATCCCCAAAGAGACTTTGCAGTTTCAGTTCCCTTGCTTGAGGCATCACTTTCTGTATCCTTCTTCATCAGGAAATCAACGAATTTTCCTTTAGATTTTCCTGAAAAAACGCATTTGTGAAAAATCTAGGATAATGTTTAGTTTATCATGTATGTTCAACACAATTTTAAAATGAACTATTACCACTATCATCTGAAGAAAAATAACGGCCTTCTCTAAATGCTGTCAATGAAGTTAATTTCTCAACAAGTGCGCGTTCCGTGCCACTAGAACACGGATTTGAAGAGAATGAATGAAACCGCTTTAGTTTTTATGAGGGATATTAGAAAGCAGTAAAGATGGTAAGAAAATAAAATACAGACCTGATATAGTTACTTCCATGTTGCTAACCTTTTATTATCAAAATTCCCTTCTCCTCGAATTTGCATTGTGTGTCCATCATTGACGCCGGGAGGAATGACCACTTCCACTTTTCGTTTAGCTTGCACATGACCATTGCCGTCACACTTTCGACACCTTTCCGTGATTATCATGCCGAGACTACCGCACTTAGAGCATGTAGACACCTGAATGTCACATGTCATCATTGAATATAATCTTGTTATAATGCCACTGAATCTCGCTTATTAAATCTATTTAATTGACATTACCTGAGACATCATTCCAAACGGCGTTCTCTCGGTTTTCTTCTCTCCTCCTTTGCCACCACAATGTAGGCATTTTTTAAATACAATTCTTTGATTTAGCTCCTGTGCCATCACAACTATTACATGTCTCATAATAAGAAACTTCTATCTCTCTCTTTCCTCCAAAAATAGATTCTTCAAAGCTCAAACGTAGGTCATACCTGCATTGTAGAACACAATTAAGTTAACACGTACTGATGACAAATGACAATTGCCTTTCTCTGTAACAAGAGATGAAGTTTACCGAATATCATGGCGACCACAGCTGCAGACACATTTGGCCATAATAACATTCATCCATTGCCTACCAATTTCAAAAACAATTCAACCATTGTCTTGCAAAGGATGACAATGTAGCAGACTGGTTTAGATTAAGGTATAGAGGAACACCACACAGTTTTCATTCCAGAAATTGATGGTTCATATATTACCACCAAGCCACTGTGAGTTGTCAAGAATGACACTAAATTCATCTTACACGCTACTCCTGGTGGAAGAGAATATGTGATGATTTATGGCTTTACCATTTCTGCAACTCTATTATTTAACAACACTCCCCATTGTTCCTCATAATGCATTATGTCTCAGAAACTCTTTTTTTCAAAAACCCAAAAATTCCATGGTATTAAATTGAAGTGTAGCTATAAAGAAAATAGGCATATGGAAATGAAACAAAACAATAAAAGATGCATTATAGGTTTGCTGGGCAAGGGATACTTTCTTTTTTGTTAAGGATTGTTGGAAGAAAAATGCAATGTAGGTTTACCAAAAAAGTGCAGTGCAAGAAAGGTGTTTAAGGAAATGCCAGAAAGAAATTTGGTTTATTAACAAATTTGACATCATTCTCTATATATAGGAGAAAGGAATAACAGTCTTACTATCTTTCAGGTGGAAATGCGGAGGATCGTTTCTTTCAGGCGTGGAATGCGGAGGATCCTTGCATGTATGTGCTAGTCATGTGGTAAAAAGAAGACTTAGAGGGCTTATGGACAGCCCCAGAACAGTTTGTCCCCCAAACCGTCACATTGCTCTCAACCTCCACTAATATAGATAGCAATTCAAAGACAATACTCACATCAAAGTATACAATTTTCACACTTTATTACAATACTTTCATTTTCATATGCATTTTAATATAGGTTCAATAGATTCCTGACACAAATTTTGATGCCTAGTACATGGCAGGCTGAGTTTCACTTTCATGTAAACTTATAATTAATTCATAAATTGAGAAATGTGTTCGATGTAAAATATTACAAGTCAAATTCTAAAAACCATAGCTGGAATAGCTCAGTTGGTTAGAGCGTGTGGCTGTTAACCACAAGGTCGGAGGTTCAACCCCTCCTTCTAGCGTTTTTGATTTTATTTTCAGTTTCTTCCTTCATTTGCAAAAAATTCTATCAAAAATCCATCCGTGGACGGCAGGATTCGAACCTGCGCGGGCAGAGCCCACATGATTTCTAGTCATGCCCGATAACCACTCCGGCACGTCCACTACTTGTTATGAACTCTATAATTAATCATTTTATTGAGGCCTGGTTCAGACTAACTCATCTGTGTTGTTATATATAATTTGACATTGGATCAATATAGTGAGATGCTAATAATGCTTCACTTATAAACTATAAATGTTATAACATTTCATATAAATATAAGAACATTAAGCATAAAACATAATCCTTACACCTTCCACCTTCTATTTGTGGGATTCCTATGCCTCTTCTTCCTTTTAGCCATCAATATCAATTAGTGATATTTGTTAGCCATACAAACAATAATTAAGAAGCTGAATGGAAGTACAAATGGAGGGGAAATAACAGAGAAATGTAAAACAGGGCTAGGTCTACGACACTAAAATCATTCTCCTTTAGAAGTATCATCAATTATATATATTAAAGGACATGGTACAACAACGGATAATGTTAATAAAGAACATTCAGATCTTACTAGAAATGAAGGCCTTTGGTCCGGTATTGAACAGAATCTTGTGTCAAATAATTCCAACAACATGTAACTCAACATCACTACAACTTTCTCCATCCATATGCTTGACTTTCTTGAGCACTAACAACGGCTTTTTCAAGGAAACCTTTGACCCTGTCAGTTCACGGTACCCAATAGTTTAAGTGTAGACTTCCTGAACAACAAAAGAATGGACACAATACTAGTCTCTTTCTTCCTAATAAGATGAAAAGTGATAGTGAATTCCAATCATCCTAAAGATTATATCTTAAACTCTTACAAATTCGGATTCAATTAGAAGAAAACTCAGTTACGCATACTATTAAATATCAACCATAGATTTGAGATTGATTGATTCACATTACACCTTCACCAAATCATCTCTAAACAATTTCACAGTTAATTTGACATTTGACTATAAAGATAAAAAAACTAGCCACACAGTAACTATACAGAATCCAAATATGGTCGTTTATAGTATAAGAGACAAAATTGATCTGCTTTTTTCATTAGTAACGTCAACCCAGAATTACTTTATTCATTTTTATGAACAAAACACTAGACACTTGTGAAATTTTGTCTAATATTTCCTAGTAATTTGACTAAAACAAAAGTGATATTAATTGTAGGTCTAACTTGATTAAACTAAGCAACTTTATCTTAGTAATCCTTCAAAATTTTGCTGAGATAATTGAGAATTAAGAATATCATTAAATAGTTTTTACTCTTAAAATTACAATTATACTAAATACTAAATTAGGAATCCAGTAAATGAAAGATTTTATCCATGTCATTGTCAAAATAACACCCTCACTATCCAATACAATAATCTCTTACACTGTTAGTGTTAGTCCATATAAAATCACAATCTTTCCATTTTAATACGAAACAAATTTTATTCACTATTACTCTCTATTTCAAAAACTCTGTAGGCTTAACCCCCCACTTGAAAAGAAAAAAAAGCTAACCAAATTGACCATTAATCAAACCCTAATTGCACTTCACACGAATCTGCATATTTTTCCCTCTCTTTTTCAATTTCTGAATCAGTATAGTAATAGTAATACAACCGAGTGTTGATATTATAGTATCTTAGTATGAATGAAAATTAGGATATAAAGAAAGATAACGATCTATCTAAGTAGCAAATGCAAAAATTGAAGAAGTTCGGAGAACCACGTTTACTAACAATGAACGGCGGAAATAGATGACGGTAGACTGAGAAGTCGAACTCCGGTAGAGCGGAGGGTCGCCGGAGTAGGAAGTCGGTGTGCGGTCGGGGTAGCAGGCTGCGCCGATATAGGGTTTTCAGTTCTTCGTGTTCGACGCGATTTTTTTTCCAATTGTTAGAAGAAAAAGTGGGAAATGAATTTCCACCCAAATTGAGAGTGTGGGAATTATTCTTACTTTTTGCGCCATTTTTTGTGATTTTAAGTTAATCTACTTTTAAAATAAGATTACCACCATTTTAACATAATAATCTTAATTAAACAAAGTTTTACATGTCCCTAATTGTACCTACTTTAAGTATTATTTTATTTATTTTATATTTTTCTTTTACTTTGAAAAATCATTTCTTTTCTATTCTTGTCATTTTCCAATGCATCGAAAAGGGTTGATATTGTATATTGTTATAAGTTTTGATTTATTTTATGATCGTACCTAATCAGAATGGATCGTCAAAGCCTACGAACTATGAGTTGAGCAGGAGTTGTAGATGACGATGATGCGGACATGTGGGTCACGTTCCCTAACAGACACGTGACGAGTTGCCCAATGATCCCCAACTTGGGTTGTTTGTCTTTAGGCCTTATGCAAGGGTGTTGGATTGGGCCTCCTCAACGGTGGGGCAAGCGTTGGCCCAGTCCATATCAGGAGCCCCCCAAGTTATTGCCCTTAGGTGAAAGGGTGATGACTTAAGTGCAACTTTACAGTCGGGGAGAATTTGCTCGAGAAGGGAGATTGTAACCCTTTAACAGAAATGAGTTGTTTGCCCTTGTCGGGGACAACCTGTTTAATCGTGTCGGGGATCTCGTGAACACGCGAGTTGTGAAGCCAACTAGGTAGCTTCAAAAGGTAGCTTTTGTCCAAACGTGAAAAGCTATTGTGATTTTGTAAAATCCAACGCTAAACAAAATGTATCATAACTTTCTTTTTATCTTCTATTACTTTACCTTTCAATTTTGTCAAATTCATTTTTATTTGTTTTAATTTCATTTTCATTTCTAAAACTTTGTTGAATATGTTCTTTTTTAGAACCATAAATGTGTAGATTTGTGGAACTTCCGGCTGATGAGAGTTTTCGATGCGATGGAGAAAGGGTGTACCTGCAAGATTAGCACTTTGATGTTCAAGTCGGTTTGTGAATGATGAGGGTATTCAAATTATGTTTGAAACTTGTTCCCTGAAATGATGTCATCTCGTATTTATATAGAAGAGGAATAATTGTCTCGCTACTTTTTCAGCGTGGAATACGGAGGACCGTTGGATGCTGAAGCGGTAGAGAGGCAAGTAAAAAGTAAGTTATTAATTTACCGGGTGATATAGGTTATATCGTATCGTGTCCACAAAGATTGGTTATTGAATCGCCGTTTGACAAATCAATCGTTAATGAGTTTGGGGATAAATAGGTTGAAAAGAAAAGTTTCAACAGAAAATAAATGTAAACAAAAGAAAAAACTGAGGAAGAACTTATCAATCCTGTATATAATCTACTCATCACAGGCTTAAATCTACCAACCAGTTACATTCATCCTAACAATACTCATCAATGTCATTACGTATCACTCACAACCTAAGTCATTTCTAACCCAAATTGAGATACCGATTGTATCACCAAGGAAATACTACCTCCTCAATAACATAGAAGATAACTATATAATCGCACTGACGGTCTCTCTATTGCAACGACTTTTTTTATCAAGAGTCGCCACTATTAGTTTTTATCCTAGGGAAGGGAATCTAACATAAAACCCTAATTCGCAGACAGAGATTCTAGGCTTCGGATTCAATTAGACGAATATCATGGCGACCACAGCTGCAGACACATTTGGCCATAATAACATTCATCCATTGCCTACCAATTTCAAAAACAATTCAACCATTGTCTCACAAAGGATGACAATGTAGCAGACTAGTTTAGATTAAGGTATAGAGGAACACCACACAATTTTCATTCCAGAAATTGATGGTTCATATATTACCAACAAGCCACTGTGAGTTGTCAAGAATGACACTAAATTCATCTTACACGCTACTCCTGATGGAAGAGAATATGTGATGATTTATGACTTTACCATTTCTGCAACTCTATTATTTAACAACACTCCCCATTGTTCCTCATAATGCATTATGTCTCAGAAACTCTTTTTTCAAAAACCCAAAAATTCCATGGTATTAAATTGAAGTGTAGCTAAAAAGAAAATAGGCATATGGAAATGAAACAAAACAATGAAAGATGCACTATAGGTTTGCTGGGCAAGGGATACTTTCTTTTTTGTTAAGGATTGTTGGAAGAAAAATGCAATGTAGGTTTACCAAAAAAGTGCAGTGCAAGAAAGGTGTTTAAGGAAATGCCAGAAAGAAATTTGGTTTATTAACAAATTTGACACCATTCTCTATATATAGGAGAAAGGAATAACAGTCTTACTATCTTTCAGGTGGAAATGTGGAGGATCGTTTCTTTCAGACATGGAATGCGAAAGATCGTTGCATGTATGTGCTAGTCATGTGGTAAAAAGAAGACTTACAGGGATATAGCTCTGTAGTTGGTCAAAAAGTTTTAGTCTAGATCAGACTATCTCGAGGTGGTCAGACTTAGAGGTATGGATAACCCCAAAACAGTTTGTCTCCCAAACTGTCACATCGCTCTCAACCTCCACTAATATAGATAACAATTCAAAGACAACACTCACATCAAAGCATACAATTTTCACATTTTATTACAGTACATGGCAGGTTGAGTTTCACTTTCATTTTATTACACGTCAAATTTTAAAAAACAAAGCTGGAATAGCTCAGTTGGTTAGAGCGTGTGGTTGTTAACCACAAGGTCGGATGTTCAACCCCTCCTTCTAGCGTTTTTTATTTTATTTTCAGTTTCTTCCTTCATTTGCAACAAAAATTCTATCAAAAAAACCGTGAACGGCAGGATTTGAACCTGCGCGGGCAGAGCCCACATGATTTCTAGTCATGCCCGATAACCACTCCGGCACGTCCACTACTTGTTACCAACTCTATGATTAATTATTTTATTAAGGCCTGGTTCAGACTAACTCATCTGTATTGTTATATATAATTTGACATTGGATCAGTATAGTGAGATGTTAATAATGCTTCAGTTATAAACTATAAATGTTATAACATTTCATATAAATATAAGAACATTAAGCATAAAACATAATCCTTACATCTTCCACCTTCTATTTGTGGGATTCATATGCTCTTCCATTTAGCCATAATATTAGTCATACAAACAATAATTAAGAAACTGAATAGAAGTACAAATGGAGGGGAAATAACAGAGAAATGTCAAATAGGGTTATTTCTACTTCCACTAAAATCATTCTCCTTTAGAAGTATCATCAATTCTATTCAATTCTATATATAATATGATTAAAGGGCATGGTACAATAAGGGATAATGTGATTAAAGGACATTCAGATCTTACTAGAAATGAGGGCCTTTTAGCCATCTATAATATAAGAAAATCAGATATATCCAAAAAGTTAATTTTGTCTTTTTGCTTCAAAAGTATAACACATGGATAGACTATTTGAGGTTCCAAATTTGTTATGTTCCAAAAGCAACACAAGCGTTTATATTCTTCTACGCTTCTGTAACCTCCCTCTCCACCTTCCCTTAACCTCCCTCTCCACCTTCCCCTATTGATCATGTGTTTTGTAACTGTTTCCATAATCAATGTTGAAATTCCTAAATAGCTGTCCATTCCACTACTTCCTCAACAACTCCTTCTGCGATGGTTTCAAATTGTGAATGCTCTTAAGTCTCACACTAATAACTACCTTAAGAGACATTTTCTTCAACAATGAAGGTCCTTCTCTAACTATCTCTTTCTGTTACTTTATCTTTCGCTCAATTTCTTCGTTCTCACTTTATCAATTTTTTGTCAAGCAGCAAATTCATTGAAACAATCGATGATTACAAAGGTGAAGATTACCTATATGCATGTGTAAACCCTAATTTGGCGTTTTATGTTTTTCAATGGAGGACAAAAATTTTGATTCTAAGAATCACATGCAAGTTATAGAAGTTTTATCTCCTAGAGTTTTCACGTTTACCCCCTTGTGATCACATATTCAATTCATATTCTCATATGGTAATTTTTCTTGAATTTCTGCACTTTTTTGCTTTGTTTTTTTTATGGATGTTGATGCTGATGCTGATTATCTTTATATGTTTTTTTTTTATTCTGTTTTTTTTAAGATTGTTAAAATCTGATTATTAATATTGATGTTTCTTTTTTAAGATTGGTGTTTGATGTTTTTCTGTTTGTGCCTTATTTGGTTGATTTGATGATATCATATAATGTTATTGACATGATGATGAAGTTGACGGCAGTTCGAGGAATCATCATAATCATGTTACTAAAGAGAATTGTGATTCTTTGTCTTCTGTTAGCACTGAGGAACATAGTGAGGAATATAATATGAATTTTCAAGATTATATCATGAATTACCTGATGAATCGTTGGGTAATTGTAACATGACGATCATTTTTAGGGTCTCTACAGAAAACATTCAGGGATTTTGAAGTTTCCATCAGCTGAAAGCCTGAAACTGATTCTGAAGGTAATATTATTTTGCTGCTTGGTTCCCTTATGTCCATGTATTATCCATAACTATTAACGGTCTTCTTCATACACGCCCACGCCCACTACCACTACGATGAGCTTACTGTTTTTTCTACAATGGGAATTTTCTCGTCTTTTTCTCTATCATTTATTCAATTCAGTATTGAAGCCTAAACTTTTTTTATGTAGGTGTTTCTGTTGCACCATCAGTAAAAAAGAAGTGATATAGTGGCTCTTGCAAGTAGTATGATGGATTCTTTTTGATCCTTTACAATCTATGATGACTGTGTTAGTGATAACTATGCATATTTCTCCAAACTGTTTCTGTTGAGTATGTGTGTGTTTAACATAAAATTTGTCTCATATTTTCTAACCAATACTCATGATTACTTGTGATGGAGTTCTAGGAAATGTTGGATTGTTTGTATAATAAAGATAGAAGAACATGAAATGAGAAAAAAAGTTCATGATTTAAGTAGTAGAACATTCACAATATTGTTTACTAATTTCTAAATCAATAACTTTAGTCTTTTTCTTAAATGTCTCATGTTTTTTCAATTAGATCTCTGCCATCAGTGTACAAATTATTGGTAATAATGACTAATAT